GTTTGTGTTTGTATAAAGCGAGAGAAAATTGTATATACATATATTTTCGTTCCCCTCTCTCCCCTCTCCCAGATCTCGCTCGCTCACTTGCCTCTCTCACTTTATACAATTGATCTTTTTGTATATGTATACCAAAGCAGATTATACAACTGCTTTCTTTTGTATATGTATAGCGAAATATACATATTTATGTTTGCTATGGAGCGCAATTATGCAAACTTTGCTATAACATACAAATATGAATTTTGTGTTTGCTATATGTGAAAGTTGTTCTTCATTGTATGTGTCCCATGCAAATAGTACCTACGGTATATTTAAAATGTAGTGAAAATATCACATTTTTGTTAGCTTCAAACATCAAAGCATAGACTTGCTACAAAAAGAAAAATTAAAATTTCAAAAAGATTATGAATTCAAAGCACAAAGTAAAGCAATTATTTAAGAAAACTAGTACTCGTATTTTTCCGTTTTAATGATATGTCAAATCAATATAATTGTATGACAAACACTGCAAAAGCTTCATAAAGAGAACGTGAAAAATATTCCTCTTTGTAAAACAAAATTTTTTCTTTCACTTTATAAAGTGTAAGAAAAACTTCCACTTTACAAAGTGTAAGAAAAACTTACACTTTACAAAGTGTAAGAAATAGTACCGTTATATATTAAAATATACATGTTATGAGACTAACGGAAAACGTTTGGAATATTGCATAAAACATAATTTTTTCTTCCACTAAGTCTATCTTAGTTAGTTACTAGAATAGTGACTTATTTTAATCACTTTTATCTTTTTGTGGCTTATTTAGGTTCTGAACTCTATAATATCTCCTCTTTTAACAAAAAAAAAAAGAGGATGAGAAAATTTAAATAAAATTGACTAGTATTATCACTTAAGATATGAACCTATTAGCTTAATATCATAAAATAGACATCAGCTGACTTGAGGCTTGACTTACTACTATTCCAGGCCCCAATTAATAATATCATTGAAAAATCATTAGTCCTTGTCCTTGAAACTTATCATTTTAAATAGACAATAATAATAGTCGTGCAAAATAATAAAAAAATACTTCCTTCATTACGCTCGTGTTTTTAGTTTGAGTACATTCCTTAAAAATAAAAATAAAAACTATTCACTCCTAATAAGAAAATTGTGTTTTTATTAATTTACCATTAATTAAATATTTTAATTTTTTTGAGCTATTTAATAATTATTTGATTAGATAAAATTCCACTTATTTGTCTTTACCTCACTCATAAAAGATAAAAACTCATTTTTATATCTCATAGTGGCTAAATTTTCAGAGTTAAAAAGTGTATACATGTACATCACACGCCAAATGACCTATTGGAGTTGAATCTGACATGCTAATTTGCGGAATAAGATGAGTAGACTATTGCCTCATTCAAATACTTCATTTAGAGTTGACAAAATTAGCTTTAAAATCATAATACGTCCAACATGTTTAAGCACAATTTACGATAATCATTATTTGCAAAGAATAAATCTCAATTTGTGTGAATAACATAAGAGGCAATAGCATCAATATGATGCTTTATGTAAGTGTAGTAAGTAATTAATGATCGATCAAATTTCCTTTAGCTTCTATAAATCCCACTTGAACTTGGTTAAGGAATCCAATCTTACTTGACTTGATTTGTCTTTTGTTTCGACCTTCAACATGGTTTCTCCTAATCCCAAATCTCTTTCCTTTTATTCTAGTGTAGCAATATTTCTATGTTGAATTCTTATTTCTTGATTGATGCGTTTAACCCATAAACTCAACTCCTCAAGGAATTATTATAGATACATTGATAAGAAAAGAATAACTAAATATTTTTTAAAGATAATTATCCAAAATAATAAAATAGACAAGTGATAAAGATATTTGTTATCCTTTGGCTAGCCGTCTACATTGAAATATATAATTTTGATAAAAACAAATTAATAAACAGTGTGCATATAGTACAAGTCTAGTGGAATTTGGATCCAATGGGACATAATAACGTGTGTAGACATTGGAATAATTTTTTTTCTTTCAAGTGGACAGTACAAGAAGACCAAAATTGAACTGACATAAACTAAATGCGATGACCTCTTTCAATCAACTTATTTTAGATAGTAGTAACGTAGCGTAGGTAACCCTAATATTTTGTATCCGTCACTCTCTACTTTTTTGTGTACTATGCAATCTCTGGGTAGCATTGAGCCTACGGCTCCCATTCCCTGTATGAATGTAATCGCGTATGTATCGAAACGTACGCGATGTATTCAAAATCGAGAAGTCATGTATCGGGACTTTTTGAGATGTATCCAGACTTCACCAAATTCAAGGGATTTTTATAATTTGAATAGGAATATATGTGATTAGCTCTCAACCGTTTACACTATGTGATTTGTATAAAATTTCTAATTTAATTTCTTTTTCTACACTTTGCTTCAATAAATTATCCCATGAGGCTGCTCTTATTTTCACGATAAATCGTCTCTCTCACTTTTATACAAACACAAATTATATATTGTATTTGTATAATTTATGTTTGTATAAAACGAGAGAGAGAAAGACAAAAGAGAATTGTGCAGAGGAAGATTTGTATTAGTATAATTATAAGTATATAGGACGGAGAGATATGTATTTGTATTTGTCTCTTTCGCTTTATACAAACACAAACACAATTTATACATTTGTGTTTGTATAAAAGTGAGAGAGGCGAGGGAGAGAATTGAGAGTGACGAGCAAGATTCAGGGGAGAAAGGCGAGAACGGCAATGTGTTTGCTACGAATTTAAATTAAATGAAACGATAGTTGTAACATTTATTTTGAATTAATAGTTTGATATAATATACAACTTTCCCAAATAATGTCAATTATATTTCATATTTTCTCTTCGGGTTATGTTTGGTACCAAAAGAAAGGCTGCTAAAAATATTTTTACATCAATCTAACATAAGAAACTTACACTTGACTTGAAAAGCAAA